CAACAATTGGTCCAGTTATCAACGCTATTTTCAAGTTTTGAACAACTCGACTTTTAAGGTCTATGTATCTACATAAGCTGATGTTTCCATGTATGAACATTATATTTTAAGACCTGTTCAAGAATTTAGCTAACAGATGTTTCCGTATATCAAAGAATATAGTTTGTTTACAGATGTGTCCTCTTCAGTTCATTGTAAGAATGTGTTGAAACTGGTATTGATATGTATGTCTTTTATTAGAATGTAGTTGGTTTACAGATGTGTCCTCTTCAGTTCATTGTAAAAATGTGTTGAAACTGGTATTGATATGTATGTCTTTTATTAGAATGTAGTTGGTTTACAGATGTGTCCTCTTCAGTTCATTGTAAAAATGTGTTGAAACTGGTATTGATATGTATGTCTTTTATTAGAATGTAGTTGGTTTACAGATGTGTCCTCTTTGGTTCATTGTAAAAATGTGCTGAAACTGGTATCCCTGTGCATTTCTTTTGTTAGAATGTAGTTTGTTCCAAAAGTGATGTTTCCCTTTCTTTATCTTGCCTTAATCCAGTTTTAATTAAGAACTGAATACATGTGTTAAACAACGTTTGATGAGCACATTTTGTTGAATCTTTGCTACTTGATTATTCTATGTCTGAGTTTACTTTTCTTTAACAGGAGAACATCAGCTGGGACTCTGACCATTATCTGAATCTAACACCAGAACCAATGGTCAGTCTGATTGATCAGATTCCACCACAGCAAGGGCCTAGTAGGTCATCAAACATTAATTTGAGAGAGGAACAGAGAGGTTTGCTGTGGATGTTAGATGAAGAGTCCATGTTTCCTAATTCTTCAGAACAAAATTTCCTTGAACGAATTTTTGCTCACAGTAATAGAAAAGGTACTTTAATAGTGAGAGGATTGCTTATAACATACTGAACTGTAATGTTTCTAACATAACTTTTAAACTGTAATAGTTGATTAGTTATGCTTGATGACAAAGTAGTAAAAGTGAATGCATGAAAAAAACCCACAAGATTGTGATTATAGTGTGGTGCTGATCATGCACAAATGCATATTATGATTACATCAAAAAATTCAGCTTTATTTTTATGTTTAAAAATAGATCTAACTCGTATTAAATAAATAATCTAATAAGAAATTAAAGTTGATGTGAGATGTCAGTCAGGTAAATATCCCTCTAGATAAGTATCCAAAAGGTGCAAGGTTTTAAATATTTAAAGTGGTTTTTGGGTCAAGAAAAGGGAGAAAAGTAAATAAGAAACTTTTTATTGATTAGTGGGTTTTGTCACTGAAGTCTTGCTGATATGGCAATGTTGTCAGACATAGTGAAAATTTAGGGAAGAATATGGCAGTCTTTATTGAGGGTACGTTATTAACTCACCTAATGGACAAAACATAAGGTTAATTAATGTAACCCACTTCATTATTAACTCACCTAATGTCGTAAATATTCTTCCAGAAAGCCACAGATAATCCGTGAAGTGGGTTACATTAATTAACCTTATGTTTTGTACATTAGGTGAGTTAATAACGAAGTGGGTTACATTAATTAATCTTATGTTTTGTCCATTAGGTAAGTTAATAACGAAGTGGGTTACATTAATTAACCTTATGTTTTGTCCATTAGGTGAGTTAATAACGAAGTGGGTTACATTAATTAACCTTATGTTTTGTCCACTAGATGAGTTAATAATGAAGTGGGTTACATTAATTAACCTTATGTTTTGTACATGAGGTGAGTTAGTAACGAAGTGGGTTACATTAATTAACCTTATGTTTTGTCCATTAGGTGAGTTAATAACGAAGTGGGTTACATTAATTAACTTTATGTTTTGTCCATTAGGTGAGTTAATAACGAAGTGGGTTACATTAATTAACCTTATGTTTTGTACATTAGGTGAGTTAATAACGAAGTGGGTTGCATTAATTAACCTTATGTTTTGTCCATTAGGTGAGTTAATAACGAAGTGGGTTGCATTAATTAACCTTATGTTTTGTACATTAGGTGAGTTAATAACGAAGTGGGTTACATTAATTAACCTTATGTTTTGTCCACTAGATGAGTTAATAACAAAGTGGGTTACATTAATTAACCTTATGTTTTGTACATTAGGTGAGTTAATAATGAAGTGGGTTGCATTAATTAACCTTATGTTTTGTACATTAGGTGAGTTAATAATGAAGTGGGTTGCATTAATTAACCTTATGTTTCATTCTCTGAATCCTAACAGTGATCATTTGTGTAAAATATTTTTACTAAATGGAATATAATCATGTTTAATCTGAAACAGAGAAGAAACACCTGTTACAGAAGGGACCTCATGTGTATCTGTTTACATTACAACACTTACAAGGAACCAACCCAGTTACATATAACACAGCAGGCTGGTTAAGAGCTTGTAGGGAGCATCCAGTTGTTCGTCAGGCTAGCCCTCTGCTACAGGACTCTCAGAGGTGAGTGACTCTTGTTCACATTAGTTGAATATATGACAGCTAATTCCGAGGTTGTATCTAAAACTTGTGTAAAGTTATCATTAAATGGCTGATAAACGGATGCTTTGCTGTAATAGTAAAAAGAAAAAGTTCAACATTTTGTCATCTGAACTGAAGAATGAACAATATTCATACAAAAACTAAGGTGTAAGAAATGAAGTAACAAACTACAGATTAAATAGGATAACAACTATAAAGTAAGAAGATTTGTTAAAAAAGATGTATAAACTAATAAATGAATGTTTGATGCTTTAATACAGAGACTATATCAGCCAGCTGTATGTATCTTCAAGAGGACCATCTTCAACAATGACTGGTACAATTGGCTCCAGTGACTCGGCCACTCTCAGGCGAACCTCTAGCATACGGCGCACACAAACTGTAGCAACAGCCGGAATGAAACGACGGTCTTTACCCCTCCAAGTTAAATACACCATGGTAAGTCATCTAAACTGACAATTATGGGAAGATTTATTTTAAGCTATGATGAACAGTTACTTGGACTTTATGTATTTGACTGGTTTTGTAATGAACATAACACATCTGTTGTGCACTGCTATAATATATGTAGCTGTAGCTTCTATGTAATTGAATTGCCATGGTTATGAATTTTTTTCTACCAACAGGATGCTCTAATAGACATATTAAACCGAAGTCAACTGCACTTTGTTCAGTGTCTTCTTCCACAACATAATGCTGGACATTGGAACCACAGAAGTAAAGCCTTGAAACGAAGCTCAGGGTGTGAGGACTTCCTTTTGAATGTCCCTCTCTTGAGATCTCAGCTTAGAGGTGCCCAAATTATAGACTCTGTTCGAGTGCACAAACAAGGTAAACTCTTAGCACTTGGAAACTTGTTTCTATGTGATTTATTTGGATTAACATACTGTATAGCATGTTTTAATTTTCAGAACTGGATAAAAGTGATATTTCACATCATTAAACATTATAAACAATTAACTATTTGGCCTTATGGAAGTTAACTGGTTTTAAAAACAATGTGAAATAAGAGAGAAAAAACACAGACATTATGTGTTGCATGACAGTAAATATTACATAATCTTAAATTATGATTTGTTAAACGTGTCAATTTTTCTCATTATTTAATTACAGTTTTGTCACTAAATTGTTTATTTTCTTGAGAAAAAAGTTAATCAGTGACTTCTTGAAAGGAAAATGAAAATAACCAGGACTTAAATTTCATTAGTTGATATTATGTACATTTAATTAAAATGATGTAATGATCCTTGAAGTATTTAAGTAATTTACTGATGAGCCTAGCAGTTTATTTAATGCCTTTTGAAGATCAGTTTGACACTTTTCACCACCCAAATGAGGCTCGTAAATTTTATAAAATTTGATGTATATATAAAAATATCTACAATATATGTTTATAATTGGACTCTCAGAAATTCATATAAGGGTAGAAAGAAAAACACTTTAGAGTGCAAAGGTGTCACATGACACAGACAACTGAAGAATTTATGTAAATAGTTCTTTCTGAAATTAAGAAATTACAACTTAGATAACATGAGAATTTGAATTATAAACTATGTTTTGATGCCAAACTTATCGACAAAAATTAATAATAAAGTTGTTTGATTAAATTTTGGATGTAGTCCTTTAAAAGGTCGTGACATTCTCACTTTGACCCAGCTGTTGTCATAAGGTTAAGTAGTAGTAAGTCTTGTTATATTCTTTAAAAGTAAAATGGTTTATAAAGTGTTGTTGTGTTGCATGTTGAAAGAACTAATAACAATATTTTTTGCATCTTCACGTGTAGTATGTTACAGTAAAGGTCTAATGTTTATGGATCTTCCTAAAAGTAATTGATTCCATTTATAAATGTATTTTAAATGCTGCCAAGAAATGTAGTTAAAAGACAACATTTTCAGGTTTTCCTGAGCACTTGATGTATGGTGAGTTTCGTCGAAGAGTAGAATTATTGGTGCCGCCAGAACAGCAACCTGGAAGGCTAATTTCTGATGAGAAACAAGCAGTAGAACAACTGATTGAGTACTTAGACTTTGATAAGTCTTCATACCGCCTTGGACTGAGCCAAGTAAGTAAACTGTTTATTGTCTCACACTTCTTTCTGAAATATTTTTCAAAACCCTAGTAGTTTGAAATATACTTACCCTGACAATAAATCTGAAATAAACATGAAAATTTTAAACTTTCCACCAATAAATACAACTGTATAAGTTCTGATATAAAACTAGTTAATTAAGTAACTTGTTTTGATTTATGTCAGTTTCGTACACAGGAATCGATATTAACTAATTCCAGACCACAGAGCTCCTCTCAGGTGTGAAGTACATATCAGATTTCTAAATATGAATAATAACAATAATTTTAACTATTTCAAAAGTTTTTAACTCTCAAATATTTTAGAATTGATATTTTGTGACATGTATTTAGTATAATTCACAAAGAAAAATTAAACAAATCTCAAGCATTTGTTTCTGTCCAGATTCATTTCTTGTTTCTCATGTGAGTTTCATTCTCTCTGTATATGGTCTTTATGATAACAACCCTTTGTTCCCATCCTTTCATGATGTCACAGTATGTGTGCTGAACAGTCATTAATGAAGCACAGTTTTGATTAAAGTGGAGTGAGCAGTGACTTATGGTTTAGTGGGAAAGTGACTAGACAGAGCTCCTGTAATTATGAACAGAAGAATCTTATGGGCAGTTTAGAATACTTAGGAACAAACCACAGATTTGGGAATTTCTTTATAGTTTCTGTAAACATTGTTTCATTCTTCAAGCACTTCCACTGCTTACTGGGAAAAAACACAAACAGGACTCCAACATGAAGAGCTCTGATATCGTTGAAGTTATAGTTCAGATACCATCAGACACTGCTTACTGGGCAGAAACACAAACAGGGCTCCAACATGAAGAGCTCTAATGTCGTTGAAATTATAGTTCAGATACCATCAGACACTGCTTACTGGGCAGAAACACACACAGAGCTCCAGCATGAAGAGCTCTGATGTCGTTGAAATTATAGTTCAGATACCATCAGACACTGTTTACTGGGCAGAAACACATACAGGGCTCCAGCATGAAGAGCTCTGATGTCGTTGATGTTATAGTTCAGATACTATCAGACACTGCTTACTTGGCAGAAACACATACACGGCTCCAACATGAAGAACTCTGATATCATAAAGTTAGAGTTCAGATACCATCAGACACTGCTTACTGGGAAGAAACACATACAGGGCCAATAAAGAATAGTGTGATGTAAATTGTTATTAGTTTTTTATTTGTGAATATTTCTTTTCCACAACAAAAAACATATAGTTTCAGTTATAAGGATAAAGAATCTGTGAATGACGTAGAGACCAAAATTATTATAAGACAATAGTTTCACCAAATCACAACTCATCTTGACTACTGGGGAGAGAAAACCAATGAAATACAATTGAGAATCATATGACAATGGAATGTAAATAACTTTTACATTTTGATATAGTCCTTTAATCACCATTAATACCCTAAAATATTGCAGGTGTTTCAATAATATGTGACTATATACTGTCAAATTTAATTATTATTTAGCAGACTAGCTCTTCATTTGTCAGAAACTTTGTCTGACACCATCAAGTGAAGAAAACACCTGTCTCTCATCATGTATTTAATACACTATAGAAACTTTGTCTGACACCATCAAGTAAAGAAAACACCTGTCTCTCATCATGTATTTAATACACTATAGAAACTTTGTCTGACACCATCAAGTGAAGAAAACACCTGTCTCTCATCATGTATATAATACACTATAGAAACTTTGTTTGACACCATCAAGTGAAGAAAACACCTGTCTCTCATCATGTATTTAATACACTACACGAACTTTGTCTGACACCATCAAGTGAAGAAAACACCTGTCTCACACCATGTATATTATACACTATAGAAACTTTGACACACTGTTCAGTGGAGTAACACCTGTCTCTCATTAAGTATATCATACACTATAGAAATTTTGACACACTGTTCAGTGGAGTAACACCTATCTCTCACCATGTATATCATACACTATAGAAACTTTGACACACTGTTCAGTGGAGTAACACCTATCTCTCACCATGTATATTATACACTATAGAAACTTTGACACACTGTTCAGTGGAGTAACACCTGTCTCTCATCAAGTATATAATACACAAAAGAAACTTTGTTTTGCACTCTGTCCAGTAAAGTAACATATGTTTTTATAATGTATATGTCACTCTGTATGAATTATTTCTGACACTCAAACTTCAGAAACCGTATCGTTCTCTTAATTGTTATTGTAAAATTTAGCAGGATTTTGTAGGTATGGCAGTCATTTTTTAAGTTTCAGATTTCTTTACTGTTTTCATTTTTAAAGTGCATTTTTCACATGTTTAACTATGTAAATATGTAATTGTATGTTATATAAAATAGGAAATATTTCTGAAGAGTAAAAAAAAATCAAGTATATATTTATTTTTACTTATATATTATATTTATTTAGAGGTTTCTGTGTACATATGATATATTTTATAGCCCTTTAGGCACTTAATTTGCTGAGCTAATATATATATATAAACATGGGAGTGTTTAAAAACATAGATATTTATTTATTTAAATCAGTGATTTTAAATACTTCTATGAATGCAGACTAAAAGAAAGTACTCTTAATGACATAGGTATTGTTGACATGTACAATGATTATATATTTTGCATTCCTTTGAAACATTGCAAAATTGTTGTGATAAGAAACTAAGACTACACATTCTCAGTTGTCACCTTTTCCAAATGACTTTGTATATTGTGCAGTTTACTCTGAACAAACCTTCAGAACCCGTTTTTTATAACCTGTATAATTCCCACTACAGTTCTTTTTTAATGCTTCAGAGTGTAAAAATTAATATTTATAGAAACAGAATTATTTGTTCTTCATTTGAAATGTAAAACTTGAGTTTTATTTTTAGCAGTCATAAATATGCTCTGTAGGAGACACACATTGTGGCTAGTGACAGATATGACGTGGAATCAGAACCTTGAAATACACTACTAGTTATTACATACAACTTTACAGTTCACTTTACAATCTTTCCCCAATGAAGAGTTCCTTGTAGCAGACACACATTGTGGCTAGTGACAGATATGACGTGGAATCAGAACCTTGAAATACACTACGAGTTATTACATACAACTCTACAGTTCACTTTACAATCTTTCCCCAATGAAGAGTTCCTTGTAGCAGACACAC